CAAAACTCAGTAGTACAGTCAGTACTTTATAGCTTGTACTCGGTTGGACAAAGGTCATTCTTTTGAGCTTTTTTCTTCTTGCAATCCCAGATAATGTGAAAAAGGTGCTAAAGCCCTGAATGAAGCTTCATAAATCCTGTAGACAGCCTGAAGGTCAAAGTGGCCCCTGTTGTTATGTCCTCATTGATCACTGCCTATGTTTTCTCTTTGATCCAGTGTGCCTCTCACGTCCTGTCTGTCTCCCTGCAGCCATTGGAGCTGCTGTGGCACTCCCTGGATGAGTGGCTGGTGCTCATCTCCACCGAGCTGGACAGGAACAGGAAGAACCCGTCCTCCTCCTCCTCCAGCAGCGAGATAGCCTCCCTGCTTCTCAAACAGCGGGAGGTCGACCACTCCGGCTCCACGCCAAAGCTCCCCTCCCTGCTGGACCCTCAGATCGTCATGGAAACAGAGGCATACGCCGACGGGGAGGACGTCATCTCCATGACAGCCAATCGTCTCAGTGCCGTCATCCAGGCATTCTATATGTGCTGCTCCTGTCAGATGCCACAAGGGTCTGTGCTCAGCCTGTACTGTCACACAATATATCCATATACATCCCTGTACATACAATACATATACATTACATACACATACAGTGCACATACGTTAGATATTCATACTATAATTACATACACATACATAACACATACGTTACATATTCATACAATACATACACAGCAGCAGTTAACATGGAGAGTATCAGCTGTGACACACCTCAGTCCCAAAGTCATAGTACTCACTACTGCTACAACCAATACCACTACCACACTACTGCTGCTACTAATACCACTAGTACTACTGCTAACACTACTACTACTACTAGTACTAGTACGGATGCCACTAGTAATACTGTACTACTGCTAATACTAGTTCAACTACCACACTACTATTGCTACTACTAATACCACTAGTACTACTGTACTAATACTAACACCAGTACTACTACCACGCTACTACTGCTGACACTAGTACTGCTATTGCTGATACTACTCCTCCTGCAGTACTTCTGCTGCTATAGCCATGACTACTACTACAACTGCTTGTACTATTACTGCCACTACTGCTGCTGTAAAACGGCTGCCTCTTGTACAGTACAGCCACTACTATTACTATTGTTGGTATTACCACTACTACTACTGCGGTACTACTACTGACACTAGTACTACAGCTACTTATACTACTGCTGATCCTATTCATCTACTTCTACAAACGTACTATACCTGAAAATAAGATTAATCGTGTTTTTGTTACTTAAAGATGAGCGGTTCTTATCTACAGAGGGAGCAGGTCCTCTTCTACCGAGTCTGTCATGTTGAACTGCCATGTTTCTACAGCAGCCTAGAATGGACAAACCAAACACTGGCTCTAGATAGGGCCTTTGATCTTTGTGCTTGGTTGAGTGAAGGGGTTTCAGTTGGTTGCAATCTCACTGTTATGCCTCTAAATCCAACACACTGGTCCTTTTAAGAGAAGCTAGCCACTGCGGCATACATCCAGTGTGATCTGACGATGTCTTTCTGCTAGTGCAGCTGTTGGTATATAGTCATTTTATAATCATCCAACTGTAGGCTTAGAGTAAGAGCACCTTGTCTGCAATGGCCAAGCAGTGAAAGGCCTGTAGTACCCAAATGGTAAATGGACTGTACTTATATAGCACCTTTCTAGTCTTTCAACCACTCAATGTACTGTACACTACATGCCACACTCACCCCATTCACACACATTCATACACTGATGGAGGCAGTGGCTGCCATGCAAGGTGCCGACTGCTCACCAGAACGGAAACTAAGCATTCATACAGTCATACATCGAAGCACAGCATCCGGAGCAATTTGGGCTTCAGTGTCTTGCTCATGGACACCTTGACATGCAGCGAGAGGAGCCAGGGATCGAACCTTCTGATTAGTGGACGACCCGCTCTACCTCTGAGTCTACCAGATTTTTTAGCCGCAGTACTGCAGTTGTCTATAATGCTTTGGCAGCGCTCACAACTCATAATAATGCAGTCCATGTAGTTAGACGCAAAGGATTGAAGCCTAAAAAATATAGATCAGGTCGCAGTCACATGTGCTTATGTCCAGGTGAAATTGTGCTGTTATGCAGCAGGTGTATACAGCTGTTCTGACTGAAATAGAACGCAGGGGAGGCACACGACTGAAAAACACAGCTGAAATGTGTCTGCAGACAGCCTGCTGGGAGTTGTCACTCCTTGGTGTATCCTTGTGGACAAAGACAGAATGTTTGCCTCAATTGCATATATCTCTACAGATAATCTGCATTCATGTGGCAAACTAACATTACCACCACCTAGCATCACTGTTTCTCTCTCAATACTTAGTTTACAAGAACTTGAGCTAGCTCCCACTGTGAGCAGCCCTGCCTCATCTACCTCCTGTTTGCTCCCACATTTATCTCTCTTTGTTTAAACCCTTCTTCAGGTCTATAATTATGTGTAATTAGATCATTAAAGATGCTTAATTAACAGCCAATAGAGGCCTATTATTGACATGCCTGCTGAGATGAGCTGTCTGCTCTCTGTTTTGGTTGCTCTCGCCCTTTCCATCAGCATTCTGGGTATGTGACGTCTTCTCTTACGACCCACCAGCATTATCACTGTAGAGACTGCATTTCACATAGAATGAATGATCTACTGTTACCACCGCTACTTCTACTGCTACCACCAGTACTACTACTGCTACTACTCCTACCACCAGTACTACCACCAGCACTACTGCACTTAATTATAAAACAGATGCCTCACTCCACCCTCTATCGTCCCCCAGAATGACGTCCCCACGCTTCATTGAGTTTGTCTGCAAGCATGACGAGGTGCTCAAGTGTTTTGTAACCAGGTGAGTAACTGTGGCCCTCAGCCACACTTCACACCGTACCCATAGTATTGATCTTAATTTATTTCTACCCTTGTTCTTTCACTCACCCCATTGTGTTTCTCTCTCTGTTTATCTCTCTCCCTCCGGGTTTTTGCAGGAATCCAAAGATCATCTTTAACCACTTCCACTTCCTCCTGGAGTGTCCAGAGTTGATGTCACGCTTCATGCATATTATTAAGGGCCAGGTAACCCACAATTAATTAATTTATTAAATGTTTTGAGGGACTTCATATGGAAGCACAAGTATACATGGCAATATATGGTAGATTTACAGTATGTAGTAACAAAGTATCTTTGTGGTAGATGGAAACCCCATTTCAGTTTGTAGGAACACTAGATCAGAGCCCTATTGGTCAATTACAGACATATCGATATCAGCACATATCGGAGAACATGTATGCCGTTGACAACAGTTTTTTCTGGTATATAATGCTGGAAAAAATTCTTGTGGTAATATATTGGTGTCACTGTGAAAGTTATCCAGTGTGCTGTACTAAAATACTTTAGCAGGCAGCACAAAGTAAGAGAGAACAACTAGACAATATATTAAATAATTTTAAGAATATTTAACTTAAATACTCCACACATTCCCAAAATTCCACAGTAGGGCTCAACTAATTACTATTATTTTCCTATTAATCTGTCAATATTTTTTATATCTTTTTAATTTATAAAATGTCAGCAAATACTAAAAAATGGTCACACAGCCACACTTTCTCAGAGCACAAAGTAATATTTTCAATAGCGAACAGTCCAAATTACAATGATAATACATTTACAAATAGAAATATCAGTTTTGCTTCTTTTCTGTTTTATATCGCTGTAAATGGAATGTATTTGGGGTTTTGGATTGTTGCTCGGACACAACAAGGTGTGAAGACTGCACAATTGTCTCTGGGACACATTTTTTTGACATTTTTCAGTGTTTTCTGGCATTTTATAGACTAAAGTCTGGACAGATAAGATCAATAATGAGAATAACAATTTTCAACTATGGTTCCATATGTACAATTGTGAAGCATTTTACGTTTTATTTTTATGTAATAATCACTTTTTACTCCAAATGAGTGAACTGCTTAATGTAACCTAAACCCTGTTGCCTGTGGACTTACACCGATCAGCCATAACATTATCATAATGTTAAAATGTTCTGCAGCCCCATACCAACAAACGTGTGGTGCACGGTGTGTTCTATCACCTTTCTATCAGAACCAGCATGAACTGTTTCAGCAGTTTGAGCTGCAGTAGCTCGTCTGTTGGATCAGACCACAGGCTCCCCACAGGCATCAATGAGCCTTGGCTGCCCATGAACCTTCATGTCAAAGTCAAAGCTAACATTACTGTAAAGCTCATGGAATATATTGTGATATTGTGGTTTTAGCTGGCTAACGTTAGCTTGCTTGCTGATGCAGACGAATTGCTAGCTATCTAACGTAGCAAAAAAAATCTCTCATCTAGCTTCATCCAGACTGATTGGATATGGCTGGTTTACTGTTTGTAGGTTATTTTCTCGGCTGGGTTGGAACCATTAACAGTATATATAATGGACAGAGCTTCTGGTTCTGAAAAGTAAAGCCAACCCGGATGTGTCTTAAACCTGCATTCTGTGTAAATTTCAGCAGGTGGCAGCACCATTGGCTGCAATAACACAGCGATCCCATTCACTTTAATGGAGAATAAGCCGACTTGACACTAATTTTATGAGCTCAGTATACAGTTTAGGGTCTCAGTCGCTAGTTTCATATTTTTTTTCCGTGTGTGACCAGGCGAGCCGCCATTGTTTCCAGCTACAGCTGAGTCAAAACTGCGAAGCCAATGAGTGTAAATCTCGCAGTACTTTAAGTCCGCTAGCTCGTGCTGGCTTCGTGTTACTGTCATGGTGGCGGCCAAAATTCAAAACGGTACTCCACAAACCAATGGGTGACGTCATGATAGGTTTACACTTGGTTGAAACTGGCTGGCTAACCTTTGCTTGCTTGCTGGCTAACATTATTGATAGCTAAATACTATCTTGACTACTACGACAACGCTGACAAAATGACATCCCCATGTGTGCACCTGGATACTAACTTATGTATTATTACAAACAGTGCTGATTTTAGCTAAGAACAAATGATGTACAAAGCTAACTATAGCTTTCTACTAGCCAAGAGTGATGTGAGGCAGTGGCATCCAAGTAGCTAACTGTAGCCTATGCTGAGCTGGGGTTGTCCGGCTGGCTGTGTCTTGGCTGCGTGGTGTGGGTCTGGTGTTGGTTGTTTCGTGGTATTTGCTGATAGGGTGATTTGTAAATGGCGAGCTAGTTAGTAGCATGGAGTCAACGGTCCAAGTAAAGTATAGGAACATTGCAGATAGTAACGTTATTTTAAATATGATTGTGAGTTATTTTACAGCGTTAAGTGTTTGTCACTGTTGGCCGACGCTAACTGCAGTTCACTGAATGACCATTGGTGGCGCTGTTAGCTACAGTTTAATGACATATAGAAGCTTTAATATAATTGTTATGTTAACTTTAAACCTTACATAAGTCAACGTTGGTTCACCAGACACAAAGTCTGAGAGCAAAAAGTTTTATCAAACTGACAAACTGAGGGAAACACACAGACACAGACACAGACACACACACACACACACAGTTTTACACACACACTCACACACACACACACACACACACACACACAGACACAGTTACACACACACACACAGATAACAGTGAGCTCTGTTATCTGTGTGTAGATTCTCTCTCTGTGTTTTGCGGATTTTTTTCTCTCCCTCTAAAATGTGCTGTTAATGGGCGTCTCCCTGGACAACCATCATTTATTAATAATACACACACACAGACACACACACAGACACACACACACACACACACACACAATGTTCATATTGGATGATTCTGCTCTTCGTCATTCACAGATTACTTTATAAACTGACATTGGATTCAGTCTGGTTGGTTCTGGTTCTGAGAACTCATCGGGTGTCCAGAGAGCGGCAGAAAGTCCAGTGAAA